TTTCATAGGACATACCAAAATCAAACTAAAATTTTGTACAATGATGAATTAGCTAGATTCATTAGGTTGCCTCTAACTCTACCTAATACATCTAATACTATTGACCCAATATTCACATCTACTATAACAATTACATCGTCATCTATAATAACACCCACTCACTCGACTTCTGATAAGCGATCCAGCGACTGTATACCAATACGTATGTACGTCCGTCACACTTCCACCTGACTATGTGTATGTACGTCACGTCACGCTTCCACACGACTATGTGTACGCACGTCCGTCAAACTTCCGCAGGACTACAGGTATGTACATCCATCACACTGCCACATGCCTGTACGTATGTATGTCCGTCACACTTCTACCTGACTATGAGTAGGTACGTCACGTCACGCTTCCACCTGACTATCTGTACGTACGTCCGTCACACTTCCACATGAATATGTGTATGTACGTCCGTCACACTTCCACCCAACTATGTGTACGTACGTCCATCGCACTTCCACGTGCCTGTATGTATGTACGTTCGTCACACTTCCACATGACTATGTGCATCTGCGTCCGTCACACTTTTACACGACTATGTGTGTGTACGTCACGTCACGCTTCCACACGACTATGTGCACGCACGTCCGTCAGACTTCCGCATCATTTCACGTATGTACATCCATCACACTGTCACATCCCTGTATGTATTAACGTCCTTCACAAATCCACCTGACAATGTGTATGTGGTGATGAAACGCATCATCTCAACTGGGAAACGAACCCAGGACCTTGGTTCACCGTAGCAACGCTCTAACCACTGAGCCATTGAGACCCAGCATTAACCATGTCATTCATCCTTTTCATACGTTATGACTATCGATATAGTATTAAATTGTTGATTTTCTAAAATGACCAGTGGTCCTACGGATAGTTTAGCCTAATGTTAAACGATGGTGTATGCCTCAAACCTTTACCTCGTCGCAGGTTTATCCGGTAGAAAGTGTGTATATTTTGTGAGAGTGAGACTCTATGTCATAAGGTGATTAAACACATCGGCTCAACTGGGAATCGAACCCAGGAGCTTCGTTCGCCATACCAAAGCTCTAACCACTGAGCTATTGAGACCCAGCATTAACCATGTCGTTCATCCATTTTGTATGTTATGACTATCGATATAGTATGAAATTGTTGATTTTCTAATATGATCAGTGGTCCTACGGATAGTTCAGTCTAACGTTAAAGGATGGCGTATGCGCGTAACCTTTAACTCGGCGCAGGTTTATCGGGTAGAGAGTGTGTATATTTGGTGAGAGTGACACTCTATGTCATAAGGTAATGAAAAACATGGTCTCAACTGAGAATCGAACGCAGGACGTTGGTTCACCGTAGCAAAGCCCTAGCCACTGAGCTATTGAGACCCACCACTGACCATGTCACTCATCCTTTTTGTACGTTATGACTATCGATGTAGTATGAAATTGTTGATTTTTTAAAAGGACCAGTGGTCCTACCGATAGTTTTTCCTAACGTTAAAGGATGGCGTATGCCCGTAACCTTTAACTCATCGCACGTTTATGCGGTAGAAAGTGTGTATATTTTGTGAGAGTGAGACTCTGTGTCATAAGGTAATGAAAAACATGGTCTCAACTGGGAATCGAACGCAGGACGTTGGTTCACGCCGACCGAAGTGCGATGTGAGCCTTGTCTGGTGTTGCAGGTAATGCAAGGTCGCTCACACTGTACTGTAGACGCAGATGCGCGGGTGACAGACGGGGAAACACGTCCTCCAAAATTTACTGTGGCTGTATTGCAATCGAACGCTAAGCGAAGGAAGATGTGATCGTCGACCAGTTCGAAGGATCGTTTCTTCCCGCCGATACCACAACGAAACCGACATTAGGGGGTGACGTGCGCATGCATCCGGTGGAGAGTAAGCGAGCCACCGAACATTAGTTGTTCGTTCCATTTTATTTGCATCGTATTCTCTCCAGCGGAGCGGAGAGTCTTGCAACGTTAAAATGCGTGTCAGTGTGAGAATCATTGATTCTTTGCTACTGAGTGATCATCCAAACGATAGCCTCAAGATCAGCTTATAACACAATGACTAATTATCGGCACACTTCATTCACTCGACCAACAGGCAATGGAAATGGTGAATCGATGCGATTCACTTTATTCACGTTATTCACTGACCGCAAGTCTATGACCATTATGAATTCCAGACAGTGCGTGACGCGGTGTACATAGGTGCAGTAGTACATAGGTACATACTGCACCTATGTACGCCACACACGTCAGTGACTATACATATGCACGTCCGTCACACCCGCTGGCCACTCTATATATGTACGTCCGTCACACCCACTGGTCACTACATGTATGTACGTCCATCACACCGCCACATGACCATATGTATGTACGTCCGTCACTCCCACTGGTCACTACATGTATGTACGGCCATCACACTGCGACATGACCATACGTATGTACGTCCGTCACTCCCACTGGTCACTCTATATATGTACGTCCGTCACTCCCACTGGTCACTATATGTACCTGCGCCACACCTACTGGTCACTATATGTATGTACGGCCATCACACTGCGACATGACCATATGTATGTACGTCCGTCACTCCCACTGGTCACTCTATATATGTACGTCCGTCACTCCCACTGGTCACTATATGTACCTGCGCCACACCTACTGGTCACTATATGTACGTACGTCAATCACACTACCACATGACTGTATGTATGTACGGCAGTCACACCGCCAGATAACAATATGTATGTACGGCCGTCACATACTATCTAGAATGCGTGCACGCACGATTTCCCACACTATCTTTCTATGTTCACCCAAGCTAACGTAGAGCTGATGTCCCCGTGTCTGTATAGGGTGAGGGTGTGTCACACTCCAATCACTATAGTGACCTGGAGTGTGACGGATGTACATACACACAGTCATGTGGTAGCGGGACGGACGTACATATACACAGTCATGTGGAAGTGTGGCGGACGGACACACACCTCGTTCCTTTCCCCCAATACCCGAAGGAAACGGACATCAGTGGGTGACCGCCGCGTGCATCCGATGGAGAGTCAGTGATCTAGAAAGCGCACGGCGGAGGGGAGAGTCTTGCAACCATTGAATACGTGTTGATCCATAGATCCAATTGGCTGTCGGGACGCAAGTGCACGCATTGCGTAGCATGGGGTGAACAAGCCGGAAGCGAACGCCGACCGAAGGGCGATGTGAGCCTTGTCTGGTGGTGCAGGTAATGCAAGGTCGCTCACACTGTGCTACAGACGCACATGCATACGTGACAGAGGTGGAAACACGTCCGCGCAAAACCTGTTGTGGCTGGATTGCAAGCGAACGCTAAGCGAAGGAAGATGTGAGCGTTCTTTTCGACCAATTCGAATGACCGTTTCTTTCCACCGATACCACAACGAAAGCGACATAAGAACCTTTTCTTTTGGAATGGAATATCTCGCGATATTCAATTCTTCGCGCAATTTGACAAGACCAAAATGGCTATCGTCGGGCGTCTAAGGAACAGTGAAGTATATTCTGTTGCACATAAGAAATAACAATTGATTTGTGCCAAGATAGAAAGAAAACGAAGGAAGAAATTAACAAGAAACGATCAAAGCCTTGTTGATACTGATAATATGCCAAAATGTCCAATATCGATGCCTGTTTTGTTCTCATCACATTTATGCTTTAGTGGCCTGTTTTTCATGAAAGCAAATATGTTATCGTTATTCCTCAACTAACTACGTAATCCATCAAGTAGATGTTGGTCACCTTTCATAAAATCGTTGTATATAACAACGATATATAACAACACCCTCACCCTGTCCGACAGCTTTTCGTTTAAGAAGAAGAGAACGACGTTTGATATTGAGTGATTTATAGGCAGATACGAGCATAGTGAGTTTATGACAATAGAATAGTTAGTAAAGAATCAAATAATAATGCGTGCGATATGTATGAATAGAAATTAAAATTCAACTATCATTTCTAATGTAGCCGACGTAAGTACATCCCAAGTCCACTTTCGCAGCGCGAACGCGTGTGGCGTTCCACGACATAGGGTGGAAATGTTGCAATTGCTGCAACTCCATAGTTGAGAAAAAAATTGAAATTGCTGCAACGACCGAATAACACGAACTCGAGTGTTTCTAGTATTTATGGTATTTTAGGTTTTTATGCTATTTGTGTTATTTTAGGTATCTATGGTTTTTATGGTATTTTTGGTTTTTATGTTATACATGGTGTTTTAGTTATTTGCGATTGTGATGTTTTTGCCAGCGTATGGATTCTAGAATTAAAAAGTTCTGTATTTCTGACGAGAGCAGTAAGTAGTAAAAGAATTTCATAGAAAAGCTGCCGGGCAGTGTAGTAAATGACTGTTGTAAAGACCTTCGGAAAACGCTGAAAACTTCAAAACTTTTGCGGAAAAGGTTGTGGAATGCTGAAAGTTATCTTACTTTGTAGTCCATACTTTTCTCCACAATAGACTAATTTCAACTCAAAATCGAAACTTTTTTCAAAGAATGACTACACTACAACTTATTGCACTAATCGGAAAATACAAAATTCTTCTCACTCTCACTTTTTAGCGGAGCTACCAACAGAAAGTGGATTTCTTTGCAAAGATAGATAGCTAAAAATTTCTACAAGCCAAAAGTAGACGAATAGATGCACACTATTGCTGTTTCTTGTTTTCCGCTAGTAGCTTTGGCACCAGCGAGGTTGTATAGAAGTGGAAAGAGGTCCTTTCCTGAACATTCAACTTAGAATTGCACGTCAAAAATTAGCTAAGTAAAGTGAAACTAACGGTCATCACTTCTGAAGGTCGAGTACTACGCTATCATTAGTTTACTTCTCATTGGTGTACCTACTTAGTCCGTACGAATGGAAATGTCGAAAATATGGATTAATATTTTACCCAATTCGATTTCAAGAAACTGAGTCGTATACTCTACCTTAAATGAACCTAAAACGTTGTGAAATTTAGTTATGTATATTATCCGCCTTTTGATATTAACGGTTCTGAGACTCCCTTTTTTTACTTATGTCTTGCCGACCGTTGCCGATCTAATCTGGACGATGGTTCGCAAAATATCATTTAAAGTCTAAATGTCACGCGATCGACAAATGTGTGGCTGATAAAAGGCTTTTCCTTTAAATTTTTACACATCAGAATAGGTTACTTTGCGCTTTTGGTTTAAAACTTGTTCCCTGACGTTTGTCCTATAATTTACTTTAGATAAGTGTATTCTACAGACATCTCTGCATAGTATTTTTATAAGTAATTGTTATTGATATTATCCGAACTGTTCAGAATTTTTTGTTCTCATTTCCGTGTATTAACGTTTTCTTTTTTGTTCTAGGCCAAACTATTCTCGGATGAGTATACACTACTCTCAATATTAATATTCATTATTTTTGTTATTTGATATTGCAGTCGTAAGGATACGACAATGACAAATATGTTTTCACACTCATGTCAACTGGAGGACGTTTATCAGCTTATGGATCAAAATAAAGAACGAGCGTCAGAAGAACAAATTAATTTAACAACAATATTGACACCATCTGAGTATTCAATATTCGATGAATATGAAAAACAATGTTTTACAGGCGAATATTTGTTTTTTTCTATGTTGCCGGCCACAAGTCATTTTAGTCAGAAATCGTATTTTACTCATTTGGTCGGTAATCAACAAATTGGTTTGAATTTTTATCATATCTATGTTGGAGACAGTGGTTAGTGTTTCTTTTGATCTTCGACTTACAGCAAAATAGTTGATTTGATTTAAGCTTTATTTATTTATCAAAATAGTTTCTCTTTATCCATCTGTTTCTGTTTAGGTAGTGCTAAATCGCAACATATTAGTGAAATTATTCGTTCAGCAAAAGCTACACAAAAATTATTCTCATCTACATATATTGCTACATTTCCAATTGGAATAAATAATGGAAAACGAGAAGAATCATCCATTGTTGAAGAGCCAAGTGTCGTCGGTTTGCTAAATTATCTTCAGCAAGGTGACAAACTTTTGGCAAATGCTGAAATTGATGCGTATTTCGATAAAATCGGATTGTACAATCAGTCAAGTACCACAGCCACTGAAGTTGGCTCAAGTTTATGCTTAGCATTTTATTGGGTTAGAGATTTTAGTCGTCAAACTGGATCATCAGCTCTATCAATCAAAAATGCAAAGTTATCGCTCATTGGAGGAACAACGGGTTGCAAATTGGCATTGCTATTGATGAAAGTCATTAAATTAACAGGATTTGAAGGCGTGTTCAACAGAATGTTGTATTTATGCATGAAAAAAAAACGAGGGATACGACCACAAGATAAAAAGCGGCAAAGACAAAATGATCGACCGTTAATTACACATCTGAACATTGTTGTTCACTGCTTTGGTTCATGCGAGTATCGTTTTGAACAGAATGAAGATGATCAGCCATTACTTGAAAGAGAAAATTATAATGAAAATGATGTGTATAAATATGATCAAGAAAGTAAAAATCAAGGTTAGTATTAAAATAAAAACTTCATGTTCTTTTTATTAAGAGTAAATATTTATGTGCTGTTCAAAAAGAGAAAAATGTGGGATAATGATTAGAACATTGACTCATTTATTTTTCTTTGTGAAGACATTTTTTAATATAGTTGGCTTTCATTGTTTATATCGTTATATTTTTGTTTTCTATAGATGATTTATTGTTAAATATAGTTTCAATGCGTGAATCAATGTCATTGACATCACCTAATTCTCCGCTTCAAAGAAATGAAGACAAAGATGGTACAAATGATAAGTTTAGTGCGTATTATTATGTCTTCAATACCACTGCTGACGAAATTGACACGATACCATATATTCATACTCGACATTACCGTGATATTTTAGCGAAAGCAGCCGTTATTTATCCAAAATTATGTGTTAATATGCAATTATTCAGAAATTCAATGGCTGTCCTCGAAGCATTGGAAGGAGAATATCAATTTCAAGATGGGATCAAAAACAGTGGAACAATTCCATTTGAATTTATTGAGAAAGTGAAAGATAAAATTAATGAAATGTTCCTTGCAAAAGCAGAAACAAATGAAAATGGTTTAAAAATCTTATATGTAACAAAAGACGTTTGTGTTGGTGCAAAAAAATATTATAAACATTTACAAAACATTTCGTTCGAGTTATTTAATATAAATGAAGGTGATCCGCTTAAAAAATCGCCAATATTATCAGAATCAACAAAATTAAAACAAAATGCATTCCCTTATATAATCCATCCTGTTGTTGTTGACCAAGTTCGATCAAAAATAAAAAAGTACGGCTATAAATTATTATTAAAATTGCAATTTAATATATTTAATAAATCAATGTTGAATAGAAATAAAATATTAGGAGATGGATCATTAAAAAATATTTCACCAGACGTCATTGATGAATTGTTACTGGACTTGAGTCGCCGAGATTTATTGGTAAGAGGAATTGACAAATGGATTCAGGGTCAAACGGGTTCATATGATAGTTGGATGAAAGCGAAATCGCCACCACCCGGATATGAACGAGATCTGTTCGAATCGCATTTGTTGGCATACAATATTCCAATTGAAGAATATAACAATGTATATATACAATCATCTCTACTCGATTTTTATCATTTAACTGATGCAGCAGTTTTGTTCTTTGATACACATTTGTGGTATGCATCTGAATACCATAAATATCCACTTGATTTAAATAATACGATCAATCAGAAACTAAATGACGGAATAATAATATTTAATACAGTTATAAATAGTTATGAAATCAATCCAAATGGTCCAAATTCAGAGAGTGATGAATTATTAGTTTCATCAGTAGCTGCTTCGGTGCAACTGATTGATTCATGGGCAGATCAGACTTCAGAATCAACAACACTCAGACGAACCCCACTACAAACAATATCTAATTTACAGAGTGCTGATCAGCTGGATTCATTAGCAATAAATACATTATTATCAAGAGATGCAAACAACAACCGAAAGACAACATCCGAGTTTAGTAATTGATAAAAGGAAAAGTAAGTTATGATATGTGAAAGACAAGAATGATTTCACATTTCTTGTATCTATTATTGCAGACGATGAAAAACAAACCAATAAACAAATTCATCCTCGAAACCAAGAAGGTCGTTCAACCGGTAAATATATTCAGCTATGAACAGATAACAAAAACTAATTTCTATTTTCTTCTTGTTATTACAAATCTTCATTTATTTTTTCCTTTTTTATCAGATTCATTTGCTGATATTAATAGTCGGAAAAATCACTTACTCCAGTACCTATTGGCAACATTAACGACAAAACAATCAGAAGCTATACCGTACAATTTATTAGATCCATCAACAATTTCAATCTATAGCGGAAATAATTCTTTCGGCAAACATTGACGCCGATACTCTGAAATTAATCAGTCGAATTTTTTTCATAATGTTTTTTCTGTTGTAAAGTAGCCGAGCCTGTCAATTCATACGATCAACAGCCAGTAGTCGAAGAAATATTAGAAACTTTGTTAATGGATGTAGACACACGTAAGTTGAAATATGAGATAATTCTATGGTTTGAAGCAGAAAATATTTTATGGTGTTATTATCTCGACAAGCTAGTTTGTTTCGGTGGCTTAAGCTTCTTTTCAGAAAATATCTTGTATAAGCTACGCCTCACTCTGATAAAGCTGAAAAGCACTGTTAGAATAATAATAATTAAAGCTCCTAACATATTTCTACTACTATGATTCTGCTTGATGGTGGATGAACATGTTCCGCATATGATTTTATTTATATTTATATTCAGGTGAAAATCAGTCTACAACCAGTCCTCCTAACAATCACATACATAATCAAGTTGGCATCGAAGTAACCACAAATATCCATACAGTTGCTCTCGATTATGGTGATTATATTGAAAGTAATCATGTTGAACAAATGCATAGCATTCAAAGATACTATCATACTGAACACGAGTCGGAGATACATCGTGAAAGCGAAGAACAAATTGGCCGTCATGATTATCCCGAAACTAATAATAGTAAGTTTGAAATGAAAGGAGACCCCAGTAGGTGAGATACTCTTGGGTCAACTACAATGTCAATTCGATTTCAAATCAAATAATTCTAACAATAATTTTCCATCATTTCAGTTCTGGTAGAACATAGCGGAACGACATCAGTAGTATCTTCTGATCAACGATTAATAACTGAGTCGGCATTATCATTCGCACTTTCAACAGTAGTGCAGCAGTCCACTGATCAGTTAGTCGATGTAACAATTAGAAAAATTTCTCGAGCAATTTTAACATCATCTTCAGCATTATTAGCTTTGAAAGATATTATTTTAAGATCTACACATGTTAGTGTGTCAACTCGGTCGGCAGCAGTTGAACAGTTGATAAAAGGTTGTCTATTACATAAAGATTTTTATTTTGCTACGTGGAATAAGAAAGAGAATACTTTAAAAGCTCAAATCGGTTATCTGAAATGTTTTCCAGACGATTTTGATACTGTTTCGAAAATGAAATTTATTCATACATTACATAAATATGATCTGGTCACAATATCTCGCATCATTCAATAACGGTAAACCAATCGAATTTGATCAAATATCACAACAACAGATAATTAACGTCGATAATAATGTAGCAACAAAAGCTAAATTTTATCTATCGGAATTGGCTCAAACAAAATTTAAATCATCGAATTTTTACCGGTGTTTTGTAAAATATGATGAGAAGATCGTATTACGCCCAAGACAACCGGTTGCTACGTTTTCCGATACAGGTAAGATGAATGAAACTGAGCTGATATTTAACTCTATCTATATATTGTCAAATTTCTTTTGTTGTTTAAATAGCAACAGATTTATATGCCAAAACACAATCCAAAAGAGGTAAAAAACGGTCTACGACGTCAGATGCGAAGCGTTTTTCAAAACGACAAAGAGTACACCACTGAACGAAAGGACTCTTAAAAAAAACATAGATAAGATAAGAGATAAGATTTTATTTTTACTAAAGTGCAGGATATCACAAAAAAGAACAAAAGACTTGTGGCATCCGTGGATACCCTGTGATAACCGAAAACTAAAAATTTAAAAATAAACATTATTAAAAGCCTGT